TGAATAAACTGGGGAAGGAAGCAAGGAAGGTCACCCTCTCGTAACCCTAAGTTCTCCCTGTCTTGGTCTCTCTCTCTCACACACACACACGCACACACACGTTTCTTTCCACCCTTTCTTCAGTTCCACCGAGGAGCGCTGGCGGGCTCCCCCATCGCCACCGAGCAGCCCAGGTGCGCCTCTGGCAGCAAACCTCGGGGAAGGAGAAGGAAGGGCCCTTGCGCCCGAGCCAGGGGAGCGCCGGGAAGGCTTCCAAGCCCGGAGGCCAGGAGAGCTGACCGCAGGAGGTGGGGAGAGGGCTCCTTCCCTGCCCTCCGAGAAGGTCGCAAGGCCTTTTCTGCCAGGGCAGGGCCTGCCTTTTGCGCCCTGCCTCGTCCTGGACTTGTTCCCGGGCAAGCAAGGGCCTCTTCCGCTCCACCTGGCCCAGCCCAAGAGTCATCCCGGCTGAAGGGACGGCTAAGCTGGCTATTTCTGCTGGCTAAGAGGGTTACCGAGGCAGATTTGGCTCCTGACATAATCAGGCAGCGCCACAAGTTTCACCTAGATATGGGGTGGGAAGGCTGACCCACACACACACACACACACACACACACACCCACACACCAGCGGCCAATCACAGGCCCCACGCTTCACAGGCCGAGGAAGGACTCCTTCCCCGGGCCAATCTCGTCATCACGGCTAATTGGCTTTCTCCACTCCAGCCTTGCAGGGAGCAAGGGGCGAGGTGGGCTGAGCCTCTGACCGGCACCCGCTGCTCCCTGGGCTGTGCTGCTGCGCGAGGAGCAAGGCCCACGGCACCCAGAGCAGATGACCGGAGGGGGGTCCGAGCAGCACCTCCAGGCTCTCTCTTGGGGAACCTGGGGCCCCCAGGGCAGAAGAGGGATGGTGCCAGCCTCTTGCAAGGCCCAGGTAAGCGGCCCAAGAGGGCAGCCGGGGCCCCTTGCGCAGGCCCACCCCTGGGTGGCATCCCGGCCCAGCTCTGACCCGAGAGGCCTGGGAGGGAGTGTCGGGTCACCTCTGAGGCAGAGCCCCCAGCACGCCCTGGTTGGCTGGTTGGTGGAAGGTCTGGTGTGCTGTGTTCAGGGGGAGAGATTGGTATCCCAGTTGACACAAGGTGGGGAAAGCACACCTTCCGCAACTCTACTCTTCTGGGGAGTCTGAGTGCTCGTGGCCCCTGGCGCTCCTTTGAACTCCCTTGCCTGCCTCAGATCTCCCGGGTGGAGAAAGGGCAGCTGCTGTGGGAGGGCAGAGCTCCCCACCCCTCACACACAAACACACACACACACACCGCTGCCACCATGATGCCTGACCATCTACTGCGTGAGAACTGCTTTCCTGGGTTGAGCCGTGGGACCTCAGACTCTAGCACCTTGGAGAGCGGCCGGGCAGGGCAGGGGAGAGAGAGAGAGAGAGAGCCGGCAAGAGTAAGAGCCGGCCTCCACCAGCTTCTGGCTGTCCCTCCTTCTCGGCCGACTCCTGTTGGCAGAGGCCAGCCCACCCTGTCTTTCCTTGAGAAAGGAGGGGCCACCTGGGACCACCTCCATGCGTCTTGGGGGGGTGGGGGCGGGGGGGCAAAGCGAGGCCACCCAAAGCCAGGCTGCAGGGAAGGAGGGAGACCCCAAATGACCCTAAAGATCCTTGCAGGAGAGGGGAGGGGGAGGGAGGAAAGGAAAGGCAGGAATTTTTATTTGCGGGGGTGGGGGAGAGGGCCTATGTTGTGATTTTGGGCTTTTTAACTGGAAGATTGTTGGAGAGGGAACTGGGCTGTTCTCTTGCTGTCTTGTCAGGACGGGGCTCCCACGCATCACTAGGCTGCAACCCCAAAACACCTTGACTGACCGGCCGGCCGGTGGTGGGAGTTGGAGTCTAGCAGCGTCTGGGACCCAGGTTTGGGAAAGGCTACGCCAGACTCGGCAGGCCAGAGTTTATCGGCTGCCTTTCCTCCGAGGCGGCAGCCGCGGCCACCTCCTTTTTATCCTTACAACGGGGCTGTGAGGTAGGCTAAGCAGGGGTCTCGCAAGGACCCAGCTACACAGGGAGGAGGAGTTTGAACCCAGGTCTCCCTGGCCCCAACCCGGCATTCTAGCCCTTGAACTGCCCCTCCCTGCTTGGGTTAGGACACTTGCCGCTCCCACTGTGTGTGTGTTTGCGTGTGCGTGTGATGGAGAGCGAGAGAGAGCTCTAAGTCCATTAGCAGGGAAGCTAATCTTCCTCTGCAATCTCGGTGGCCAGATGGACTGAGCACCTGGCAGGGTGTAGTCCCGAACCCTGGCCAAGGCAGCCGACCCAGCGGGAGGAGGCCTGGCCAGGTGCTCTCGGCAGACCTTTCCTGGGGGTGAGCCTGCTGGGTCCTGAGAAAGGGGCGGGGGTGGGGTGGGGGGGGCACACACGGGAGCCAGGAAACCCCCCCTGCTGGTCGAGGGGAGCAGAGGAAGTTCCTGGGCAGCGGTTGGGAGGCGCTCCGTGAGGAAGCAGTGAAGCCGCTGAGAAAACCTGTCAGCAGAAGGTTCCAGGGTGGTCAAGGCGTCGGGAGAAGGCAGGCAGCCTCTCTGGGCCCCCGGCCCGGCCCGCCAGAGCCTCTCTGCCACCAGGGAGTGGGTTCGCTCCTCCCTCACGAGGGCAGGAGAGGCCAGGGAGCAGGAGGGGCTGGTGGCTGCCTCTCGGGGGAACCCCTTGCTCCCCACGGGGAGCCCCCCCCACGAGGGAGGCATGTTTGGCGCGATGCATGAGACAGGAATCCCTTGTCCTGCATGTCCCCCTCGGAGTTACTTGGGTGTTTAGTCGACAACGCAGGAGGATTGGAGATGAAGTGGGATCCTCTGAGCCGTCCGAGGGGTGGGAGTATGCCGCTCGGCCCCCCCAAGAGCCCCCTCGGGCTGAGAGGGTCTCTCCTTAGGCAATGAGCCATGGCAGCTGTCCTTCCCCCGAGCTGTGAAGGGTCATCCTGCGCAGGGGCCATGATCCGCTCCCTGCTCCTTCCTGCCGCCCAGGTCTGCTGCTGCTGCGGCCCGGCGCCCTGCGGCTTGTGCTGCCCCGGCTGCCCCAGCATCAGGGTCTCCACCGGCACCCGGCTCCTGTACATGCTCTTCCACGTCCTGGCCTGTGCCAGCTGCTGCCTCATGCTCTCCCACACCGTGGCCCGGTTCATCAAGGAGAATGTGAGTAAAAGGGCAGCAGGGGAGAGGGTGGGGTGGGGGGTCTTCAGGGCCCCTGCCATGGCCCGTGCGCTGGGGGAGGTGGAGGGAAGGTCCTGTGCTTCACGTGGACTGCCCCTCTCGGACGTGGGGAGGCTGCCTGGCCAAAGGGCTGCCCTGTTTGCCCCGGAAGCCATTTGGCGAGCGGCATGTTGTGCTCCTGGCCAGGGATTACTGTCTTATTTCAGCAACAACGAGTCTTCCGGGTGGGCCCCCTGGGAAGATCCCTGCCCGCTTGGCATCACAGGGTGCCAGCCAGGCCCCTCTGTGGTCTCTCTGGGAAAAGTTTCTATCAAGAACCGGCCCTCGGAAGCAGCCCCCAAGCGATGTCCTCTCTAGCCCCTTGCCTTGATAGCAGCAAGCGGCTCCCACAGGGTCCCAAGGGTGGCCTTGGCTGGGTCCAGCCTCTCCCTCCCCCCTCCCTCTGTCTGAGGGCTTGCAGATCCTGGCTTGTTCTACAGAACTGAGCCCATTTGGTTTTTACACACGGGCTCCAGATGATTCTTGTGGGTGGCATCTGTAAAACGATCAGGGGCAACAGCCGGCCATGGTCAGCATCCCTTGGCAGGCTCTTGTCTTCTCCGAGACCCTTCTGGGTTCTGACAAAGCAGGGAGGGGTTTAAGAGGCAGATTGCAGAGCCAGGCTGCCTGTGAAGAGGTGGGGGCCCTGCTCTCTCCTGGCTCTCTGAACTTGTTGTCCTGTGATGCTAAGTGGTCCCTCTTCAGAGGCTCAGCCTTGCTTTCTGCTTGTTGGGAAATCCAGGGAGTTGGTGGGAAGGCTCCAGTAGCCAGCTTCCTCTCAGACGCTTCTCATTGGTAAAAAGGGCCGATAAAACAGCACCTGGGTGCGGCTGAAGAAGGCAGGAGCAAAAGAGGCATCTCTGGTACACGCACAGAGAGGGGGGGGTCCATTGTGGCAGGGTTTGGTCTCAGTGGCTCTTCAGGGCTCAGGGTGAGGGAAGGACGCTCCTCCTGCCCTCCACCCCATTTCCTCTCTCTCTTTCTCTCTCAGGTGCCTTTTTACGCAGTGCTGTGTGAACGTCTTCCCGGCAGTGACAGCTGTGACTTCCTGGTGGGCTACTCGGCCGTCTACCGCGTCTGCTTCGGCATGGCCTGCTTCTACCTCGCTCAGGCCATCTTCCTCATCAACGTCAAGTCCAGCAACAATGCCCGGGCCCACCTGCACAACGGGTGAGAGGAGGAAGGGGGAACCACGCGCCGTCCCATCCTCGCCTCCTGACCTCTGCCCAGGACGCTTCTGCAAAAGATCTCACCCCCCCCTGCCCTCGCCCCTCCTGCGTGTACGCCAGGGCTGGGGAAGGTGCAGGGATACGGGTGCTGGGCCAGCCTGGTCTCGCCTGAAATCCGGATCCTTTTCAGCTTCTGGTTCCTGAAATTCCTGGTCCTGGTGGGCCTCTGCGCCGTCGCCTTCTTCTTCCCGGACCAGCGCTTTATCCCAGGTAACCCCTTTCCCACCATCGGGCCAAGGGCTGCGGCCTGGCCACTGTGAGCAGTCCAGCAGAGCCCAGCACACGCACAGGCACACGCACATGCGCACAGAGGGAAGGTCCACAGGTCAACCCCGGGCTCAGGGCAACTGGAGAGGTGGGCCTGGAAGGAATGCCCCACCCCACCCCACCTCACCCCGGCAGTCAGAGCCATGGCTCCACCGCGACTTCACGGAGGCCTCTGACTCCATGGCTGGCTGGCTGGCTGGTTTATCTTATCTTCCTTTCTTCCTATTGGGGACCCAACGTGAATCCCAAGTAAAATCATACAATAATATAACAAATTAAAAAGTACCATATGGAACTATATACAGTATTAAAAAGGAAGTAAACATTGGTCGACATTAACATCAATTTTGAAAGCATTAAAAAACATTTAAATTTCAGAAACAGAGCATTCCTTAGATACTTATCACTGAGACGCCTGCCTGAAGAGGAAGGTCTCGACCTGATGACAGGAGGAGGAGAGGGAGGGGACCAACCTGGCTAAGCGGGGGGGGGAGCACATTCCCAAAGCCTGGGAGCCACCACCGAGAAGACCCTCTCTCTTGTCCTCACTAAACGAGCTTGGGAAGGTGGTGGAACCAGAGAAGGGCCTCTCCAGAAGATCTGAAAAGCGGAGTAGGCTCATATAGCGTAATACGGTCTTTCAACTAGCCTGGACCCAATCCGTATAGGGCGTGACGGGTCAGTCACTCTGGCATGAGGAGGCACAGCCAAACGAGCAAGCCAGGAGGGGAACCTAGCTGGACTGTGAGCGAGTGTGTGGGCGTTGGTGGCTGGCTGTTTGCCTGAGACCCTTCGGGCTTTGCCCTTGCAGTTTGGCACTCGGTGGGCGTCTGCGGAGGCTTCACCTTCATCCTGGTCCAGTTGGTGCTGATCACCGCCTTTGCCCACACCTGGAACAAGAACTGGTGAGCCTGCTTTGGGAGCAGGGGAGGAGGAGGAGGAGGAAGGTCAGGCAGGGGGAAGGAGCTGCGCCCAGCAACAGGCTCTTCCTTCCTAGGCTCACAGGCGTCTCCCAAGACAAGCGCTGGTATTTGGCCATCATCCTGGCTACACTGGGCTTTTACACCGTGGCTTCTACGGCTTACACTTTCCTGTTCAAATTCTACACCCACCCGGGCGGCTGCTTCCTCAACAAGGGGCTGCTGGCCTTCAACGGGGGGCTCTGCCTGCTGATGTCCTTCACCTCCGTCGTGCCCTGCGTCCGCTTCCGTGAGTGCCTGGGGGAGCGTGGAGGCCTTGCAGGGGGGGTGGGGGGGTGGCTGGCTGAGCCCAGCAGAGCAGCGCTGCCGCTCTTTAGGAGAGGATGGCCCTGAGGATCTGGGTGGGCTAACTCTCTCCCTTCCGCACCCAGGACAGCCCAGCTCCAGCCCCCTGCAAGCCTCCATCATCTGCTGCTACGTCATGTACCTGACCTTCTCAGCCCTGTCCAGTCGACCGCCAGAGAAAGGTCCGTCTCCCTCCCTCTGCCTCTGCCTCTGCCTGCCTGCCTGCCTGCCTCTTCGGGAGCCGTGCGAGGCCCCCCGCCCTGACTGTGCTCTGGTTTTCTCCCGCAGTGCAATACAAGGGGCAAAATCTCACCATTTGCTTCCCCAGCATCAGCAGAGACGGGATGCAGACAGAAGACACCACGGTGGCCGTCCTGGGGGCTGCTGTCATGTATGCCTGCGTCCTCTTTGCCTGGTGGGTGTCGGTCCCCGCTGGGGGCATGGGTTTGATCGTTGTGAGCCGGGCACCCTCGTCACTTCCAAGTGCTTGTAAAGGCCTTTGGTGGGCTTGCCTTGGAAGTCCCCCCCCTCCTGGCCCTCCTTCTCTCCCTCCGGCTGTGAGGATCACTCTGTCAAGTACCTCCTTTTTGTGCCCCCCACCCCCTGCATATGCAGTCTGCCTTTTGCTCTCGGCTCCAGACTCTTCTGGCCTGGGGCATCTGGTCCTGAGTAGCCCACCAGTTCCCCTGCGAGAGCAGGAGTGGGGCGCCCGTTCATGCTGACAGCCTGAGGGGGATCTGGAGGTCACAAAGCTGAGATCTTTGGGGTGCTGGCCTACCGGAAAGGCCCCTGCACTGGTGTCATCGCCCTGCCTCCACTGGCATGGTGAGCCGCCTGTCCCCGGCAGTCAAGTAGTAAAGGACAACACAGAACCCACTGTGGCCGTGTTAACCTTTGTTCTCTCCCGGGGCAGCAACGAAGCGTCTCTGCTGGCAGAGTTGTTCGGGCCTCTGTGGATGATCAAGATCTACAGCTTTGAGTTCAAGGTGGGTCCAATCAGGGAGAGCTGGTTGGAGAGAAGCCTCTCCTGAAGCAGCTTCATGACTTGGGTGTGTGTTTGTGTGAATGTGCCTCTACTTTCACCCGGTTCCACAAGCCCATGTTTTACTCTAAGTACAAAGGGCGTGTTCCCATGGAGATGCATGGATTCCCCCTTCAGATTTTCTCACGTCGAGTGGCCTCATTCCGTCCCCTGCTAGATGAAAGGTGGGTGGGAAATATAACCCGCCCCCGCTTGTAGGAGGCACATGGGGCCCTCCTCCCAGACAGCTGGGCTGTGACTCAAGGACCTCATCCTGCTGGATGGCAGGGATCTTGCTGGCCCTTGGCTGCAAGCTGAGAGTGAGGATGCTTTATGGGGGCCATGTGTGCCTTTCTTCCAGAAACCCTCCTGCTTCTTCTGTTGCCCAGAGAAGTTGGAAGAGGAGCTGGCGGGTGAGTGTCACAGGGATTGGGGGCAGTGGTGGTGGTGGTGGTGCTGTGTTGGGTGCTCCCCCCCATGGGGCCCCTCAGACATTGTCTCTGGGGGGAAATGGGGACCCTTTCAGTCTCCTTCCTCCCCATATTCAAGGAGCCATGGGGTGGGGTGGGGGAGAAGAGAAGAGAAGCTTTTGCTCACCCACACTGGGCCAGGTGTGCGCCTCTGGAGCCCTTCTCAGAGGAGCTTCTTTTTGCCCTTGACACAGGAGGGCAGAGATGCCACCCAGAGGGGGCCCGGGCAGGGCAGCAGATTGTCCCCAACGAGCACGAGCACGTTGTCTACAGCTACTCCGCTTTCCACTTTGTCTTCTTCCTGGCCTCCTTGTACATTATGATGACCCTCACCAACTGGTTCAGGTAAGGAACAGCTCCTCCCTCCAAGGGTCAGACCTCCCCCAGGCCCAGCCAGGCCTCCCCACCCTCCTCCTGCGGCTGCCCTATGCCAGGGGCTGCCCTGGCAGCCTCTCTGCCGGTCCTCCTCTTCCTGCCTTGTTTCTCAGCCGGGCAGAGGGAAGACCTGGGCATCGAGGCCCCTGAGCCTGATTCACAGGGCGCCGCAATGTCGCCTCTTGTTTCTCGGCAGCTACGAGAACTCTGAGCTGGAGACCACCTTCACCCACGGCAGCTGGTCCACCTTCTGGGTCAAGGTGGCCTCCGCCTGGGCCTGCGTCCTCTTGTACTTCGGGCTCCTCCTCGGCCCCCTGTGCCTACCGGACTCACGGCGGCGCAACGGCCCGTCCGTCCTGCGCGTTATACGGCGGCGAAGGCGCGCTCTGCACCGTGTCAGCGTGGCTACGTAGTAGTCCTGGGCTGCAGACTCCACTGCTGTCACTGCGGCTTGGCTCAGATCCCGCTCGGGGCGCCTCCCGAGGAGAGGCCTGTGCGGGCCAAGGGCGGCTGACCCTCCTGCGCCCAGGGGGCCTGCCTGGAGCCCACCGAGGGCCTGAGGCCAGCCCCGAGCAGGCGGACGAGGAAGGCTGGGGTGCTCCCACCCCCACCGCGGGTGACTGCCAAGGCCCTGCTGACTGGGGCAGAGCTGAAGGGTGCTCTGGGGGAACCCCGCTCTGTGGCATGGGGCCACAGAACTTAGGGGGCAGGCTTGGGGTTGCGCCCAGACTTCTGTGCCTTTGTGTGTATGAGCAGAGGTGTGGGGAGAGAGGTGGGCGTGGCTTGGAAAGGAGGTGGAGCTGAAGTCTCCATCTCAGAATGAGACAGAAAAAGACTGTTTTCCCTCCCCCCCCCACTCTGTTCAGAAGGTCTTCTCTGGAGTAAACTCTCAAATGTCTCTTTGGACTGGGACTGATATGTTGGAGGGCACGTGTCTCTCTCCTTCTGCAGAGGAAAGCCCACTGCGTGGGGTGGCGTTAGAATCCACGTCCAGCAATCAGACTTTTTTTTCTTATATAAGAGCTGTATAAGCACACAGAAACAATAGCCTCTTGCCCTGGCTGTAAAAAGAAGACCGAGAAAGCCCAAGCCGCTTCAGCAAACAGGCTGTGAGGTAACTCCTCCCGTTTGTCTGCCAGGGAATCCTGCCGTTCCGAGGCCTGAGCGTCCAGGACATCCAGGGGTGTGTGCATTGTTTTCCGGACCTTCGCAGGCCACGCAAGGTCTGTGGACTGGGTGGCAGGTTAAACACGTGGGGACCACGCCTGGAGAAGAGGCCCCCTGGCACCCTCCTGGGTGAAGATTGGGGCTCCGAAACGATGTTCTCTCCATGGACGGTCGGGGGAGGGGGGGAATTAACGGGTGCACAAACGTTTCCAGGCCAGCTAAGCAGGAAGGCCAGCAAGCACTTCTTGTCAGTAGGAGGTGCTGCTTCCTCAGTTTTGCTGGAAAGCCTTGGAATGTCAATGTTGGCAGGGGGGGGGGGGTTCTTGCTGGCTCCAGGAGAAAGCAGTGGCTGGGACCACCCACCTTCTGAATCTTCACTCTGGTGGAAGACCAACCTTCCTGTCAACCAGTGGGGCCCGGGGGGGGGAATGGCATCCATCTTGGCAGTTCAGACAAGTCGGGGCAAATCACAGAGGTTGCTGGCTTTGCCTCTTCTCTACAGTAGCTCCTTTCCCGGACCCTCCCTCTCGCCTCTCTCCTCATCGGGAACTGTTGGCTGTTGGGCAGCTTCTCTCCCCATGTCCAGCAAGACTGCCTCCTCTCTGGGAACGCCACCGGTCTTCCCCATCGTCCTCCGGAAACGATTTTGAGCCCGAGGGTCTGACTCTCGTCTCTGCCAGGGTCTGAGCTTTCCCCAGGGCTAGAAGGCTCAAGGTTTATCCAACTGATCCAGCTGGCTGAGCATGGCTCCCAGACCCCATGCAGGTTAACCGAGTGCTGCCCCTGGCATTCCCCGGAGAACCCCTTTGTTCAGCCGCCGACCTGCTGCAGAAGGTTCCATGGCTGGGGTTTGCCTTAAGGCTGGCTGACTCGGCTGAGCTTCCCCCTCTCTTTGCCTGGCGGCTGCTCTGAATCCAAGCAACCTCCTCCTTCTCCTTTGAACTTCTTTGAACTTCAACAAGTCCGTTCCTTTAGGACCCCTCTAACTACGGCCAGAAGCGAGGCTCCGCTAACTGTCCATGAAGCCAGAGAGGACCTTCTACCCCTTCCTGCCCGTCCTCTCACTCAAGGGAATCGTGGATGTGTTGCATCTCTGCCAACCCAAAGAGAGCCCACAAATAAGGCCTGTAAGAGGGTGAGGCTGGGGGGGGGGGAAGAGGAGGGTCCTTGCACAAAACACAAGCAAAGAACAGGTTTCAGCTGCAAATACCGTTTATTGAGAAAGGCTCAAAGGAAAACAGCCCAGCCGCGGCTCCCTCAACAAAACCGTTGTCACACAGACACCGGCAGGGAGAGGTGCCCTATGCCGAGGAGTGGCTGGCCTATTCCCTGGGGTTCTGCAACCTCCTTGGTCTGGCCTGACTGACCATTGCACTTGGGAACACTGATGCGGCCAGCTTCCTGCAGAAACGCAAAGTAAAGCAAAGCATGCTGCTTATCTACCAGCCCGTAATCCTTAAAGACTCTCTGGGTGGTTTACAATTCAGTTATGCTGGCTGCACCTTGCCACCCCCCACCCCACCCCCAGCCAGCTGGGTACCTCCATTGACTGACTTCAGGAGGATGGAAGGCTGAGTGAACCTCAAGCTGGCTGCCTGGGGTTGCACGTGGGTCGTGAGCACAGTTTGGGCTGCAGGACCACAGTTTAGCCACTGCACCCCGAGAGACTCTGGTCACCGCAAGGGCCGGCAACGAAAGAAAAAGCCCCATCCTCCCTCTGCTGCTCTGGACAGGAGACGTGGGAGTTTGATACAGGGAGTGGTTTTGCCCCCAAAAGTGAAACATTTCACTAGCTAAACCTACCAGAAAAGTCCAGGAAATCTGCCGGGGATAGCCCCACAGCCAGGGTCATCCCTCCTCACAGTAGCAAAGGCCCGTGGAGGCAGAGCGGGCGCTGGGGGATTGGCGCCGCCGCTCTGGGCTGAATCGAAGCGGGACGGGACGGTCCTTGGGGTCAGCTTAGTGCAGCGAGGAGATTCTCCAGCAGAGCCCATGGAGGTGGCGAGGCTGTGGCTGCCACCCGAGGGCTTTGGCTGTGATGGGAGACGGTCTCTGGCCAGCATCAGAGAGACACCACGGCCGAGGAAGCTTGGGCTGCAGAGCATCAGGACCAGCATCAGGACCGGAGGAGGTGCGCCAGATCTTGCGAACGGAGTGCCTTTGTCTGTCTTTAAGAAACATCCTGACGGCCATGGTCCGTTTAGAGCAGGTGGAAGCGGCCTTCAGGAAATGCCTCCTAAGGCCAGGAGAGAGAGCAGCCAGCCCCGTGTAGGGATGAGGGCACTGCCAGGGCTGGCTTGGTTGGCTTGGATCAAGCCCCCCCCCCCGCCCACGTGCGCCTCTGCTGTTTCTCGCTGTTCTCTGAAGGAATATGGCTCAGCCTCTTGGCTTGTGCAGCGACGCTTCCCTCGCGGTCCTGCCTGGGAAGGAGCGCCCAGAGAGAGACCCTCCCCTTGCCTTGGCCAACGGTGGCAGCTCTCCTCTCGGTCCTCCTCCGCTTGGCTCAGCTGCGCTGTGGGGCAGAACCCCTGGTCTGCAGAAGGGAAACAGAAAGCAAGTGAGCGGGGCGGCCCCTCAAAGGCTATCTGGCCTCGCAGGTCTCACCGGCTGCCTGGCTTTGGAACCAGCTCTAGGAGGATCTCCAACCGTCCAAAGCAGGCCAGGAGCAAGAGACAGGGTGCAGTTAAGCGCGCCAGGGAGACCGACTGGCCGGGAGAAGCCACCCTTTTCCCCTGGCGGCATACCTGGTGCCCGTCAGCAGCCGTTGGGGCTGCCGAGTCCTCTTGGGGGATCCCTCCGGGCCCGGGGGATCCCGGCTGCTCCCTCTGCCGTCTTGCCAGTTTGGAGAGCTCCAGGTGGATGGCCTAGAAGCAGCCCACCAAGAGCTGGGTTAATCACCCTTAATTAATCCTCCGAGCAAAGCAGGAGGCGTGGGCCAAAGGGACGAGGAAGCCTCTCTCCCACCAAGCCAAGGGAGGCGGCATGGCCTCCGCACCCCACTCCTGTCCAGGGGCCCCACCAGAAGCTGAGGGTTGGGGAGGGGAGCCCTGCAAGGGCCCCACCCAAGGCCAAACCCACCCTTTCCAGGGTGGCCCAGGATGCTCATTCCCCCCCCCCCACGGTCGTAGGAAGGCCTTACCTTTGTGGTGGGCTCCAGCTGGAGGGCTCTCTTCAGGACGGCCATGGCGGCCTCAGCCTCCCCACGCTCAGACAGCAACTGGGGGGCAAAGGGAACGGTTCTGAGGCAGGCGGCCTCTGTGGGGAGGGGGCCCTCCCCTCCCTCTCTGCCCCACTGGGTGGCTGCCACAGCCGCCTGCCCTCGCTTTCGGGGGGGGTCTTCCCCCCTCCCACGCCCTCTGGGGCTCAGCATCGCACCTCTTCTCCTTCCCACAGGAGTGGGGTGCGAGTCTAGGCTGCGGGGAAAGGGCCCTACCTTGCCCTTCCTGTAGAGCGCCTTGACGTTGTCCGGATCCAACCGGGTCACCTCATTGCAGGAGGCCAGAGCCTCCTCCAGCCGCTGGAGCTTCAGCTGGGCCGCCGCGCAGTTGTTGAGACACTTGATCCGCAGCTCCCGCCCTTCCTCTTCCTCCTCGGGACTCAGCCGGCCCCCTGAAGGAGAGCCCATTCAGAACCCCCGGGGCCAGGGGGGGCCGCGGACCCCGCGGTGGCCCCCAGCCTCGGGACCCGGCGGTCTCCGGCAGGGCCTTACCTGGCCCCGGCGAGGGCAGCACCTCCAGCGCCTGCTGGTAGGAACGCAGGGCCCACCGGTACTCCTCTCGCTCAAAGTGGAAGTTGCCCAGCGCCCGCTTTTGGTGGCCCCGGTGGAGGCGCTCCGCAGCCGGCAGGAGCCCCGGATCAGGACTGTCCCGCACCTGCAGGAGGGTCACCTCGTACAGCAGCGCCGCCTCCTTGGGAACATCTGGCTCTCTGGGGAGGGAACAGGAGGCAGAAACCCATGAGGGCCTGCCTGCGACCACAGGATCAAAGCCAAGTGGGTCTGTGTGTGTTCCCCCCCCGCCCCAAGATTGCGCCCCAGGCCCCCCCACAGCCCCCAAGGGAGCCTCAGCCAGCCTTACCTGCCTTGGTGGCCGTAGGCAGAAGCCGGGCAAGCGAGGAAGAGGGCCACCTCACCCAGCTGCATGGAGCGCACGCCCAGGCCCAGGGCA